TGTTTCTTGAACGCCAATCCGTATAATATTACAAAATGAAGTATTCAAATCATTCATTATATTACGACTTCATATCCCAAATGAGTAAAATCTGTACATGCACGTAATGACATTCTTTCGCTTAATTGATTTAATTCGAACCATGGAAATCTTGTTTGAATTGAAAAGGGTTCATTTTTATGAGAAATTACTATTTGTGAAACGAAACTTTCAGCTTTCTTCTCATATATCTTCATTTTGCAATTTCCCCCATTTATTCTTCATAAAGCCAAAATTTTTGTTTCCCAAAAAATTAAATACGTGTTTTCGATGACGAAAATATGATAGTGATATTGGTTTTCTTCAAATTAACAATTGACTTGATACATAATTGTTTCAATTCAAGATATGCTTTTGAGATATTGAAGTTTTTTGCCTAATATAATACTGTGTCAACCTAAAAACATCAAAATAATTTGAGAATTCCAGAAAATGAAATATTTCGTACATGTCGGTTATTTTTTTCTATAACAATTGTAATGAACAACTTCAAATAAAAATAATCCACCCACTCTCTCGACTGTACAATCGAATAGGCCAGATATTACTTTTCCACAGCCTATTATTAAACTTAACGGGACCGCGGGAATGATGTAGACGACTTTTCATGAGAAAACGAAGTCTAACGATCACTTTTGAATTCTTTAATTTGTATGTCTTATCCATAAGGAACACAATTCAGAAAGATGCCGTGGATTTTGAAACTACAAGACCCACTCTCTCGACTGTACAATCGAATAGGCCAGATATTACTTTTCCACAGCCTATTATTAAACTAAACGGGACCGCGGGAATGATGTAGACGACTTTTCATGAGAAAACGAAGTCTAACGATCACTTTTGAATTCTTGAATATGTATGTCTTATCCATAAGGAACACAATTCAGAAAGATGCCGTGGATTTTGAAACTACAAGACCCGGCAGAGAACAAATGAACTTTCATTTCTTCCTGTTCCAAAATTAATTTCAACAAAAAATTCACTGTTTTATGGAATCAAAGAGCTTCAAATTCACATTCCATGAGAATTTAGAACTATCTATTCATATAAATTGTTTGGGAAAATTTTCAAAGTAGCTCTTTACAAAAAAGGGTAATATACCCTTCCGAGAATTTTACAATGAAGCCCTGCTTACTGTAGGTTAGAAGAGAAGTACTTAACTTAATTGAGTACCTGAATTTTGTTTACCTATGACAATGTGGATACGCTAATTTGAAAACCGGTGACTAAACTAGATCGATTTGATCATTTAACAGGTTGCACCCGCAATGTTAATGCGAGATAAGTTGTTGAACATTTTTGTTTATCTTCAGTTCAAATTGATTTCATTAATACACCTATTTCAATCGATATTCGGTTTTTTGATGTTGAAACCACTTTTGGTAAATGAGATTGTTAGCGACAGCCAGCTCGCACATTGTGTTAAACCAGAAACTGTTGTTAGAAGATCACTTCAATGAAATGTTGAACGGCTTCTATATACCTGAAATGATTAGTTATATTCCGAAAGCTCTCAGTTCAGTTGGGTAACATGTTTGAACACCGAAAAATCTAACTGATCGAATGACTTGAGTGATCTGCAATTCAAAGAAATCTCGAAATCGTCAATCGAGTAATTAAATCCCAAATTGTTATACTTACCTACTCGAAATAGTATAGTCGTAATTTTCAAGATTTTGATAAATCTGTATTATTAGTTTATGTACACTATCAAAATCTACCGTTTTTGTTCAATTTTTCACGACAGATCCTTCAAAAACCGGAAAAATGGAAGCTGTATGGAAGTTGTGACGAATATTTTGGGCAAAATCAAAATAAACATTGGCCGGTATACTCCAAGAAAAAATAAATGTGTTGGAATTGGCTGATACTTGATGAAAACCCATAACATATTCAAGTGATACTTTATTGTATTACTTGAATACTTGTGTGAATTAGAGTAGAGTACAGTAGATTCATATGACCATTCTTCAAAAAAGTACATTCTGGCAAGTCACAAAGCTTTGAAAGCAATTAAGAGCAATAAAAAAAAATTTGGAATCCCATTCGGAGATCTGTGAATTTCCAATAAAACAGTAAAAATATACCAGAAGCAAATTTCAACCGATTCTCAATTTGTGATAATACACATGGTATTCCATTTGAAATAATCAAGTTCCAGCCACTTTTCTAAGTAAACGAAAAAACTGTATTTTTTACCACCCTGTATTGAAGTAACAGATATTACTTTGAAGTGTGGGAAGCCTTCAGTTATCACCTCCAACTCCAACTTCTTTACTCAGAGATATCAACATTTTTATGGGTCATGATTTCCGAAGAAAAAAATAGAAATTAATTCATACTTCGAAAACGGTAACAGATAGGTATAGGAAAATATCGAGAAAAGTTCTTGGGTCATTATTGTATGCTCAAAAAATAATATTATGTACAGGGTGTTCAATTTGAAAAATTAAAGCTGCTACTACTTTCTAATGGAAGTGGCAACACCGCATTGTTGTATAGGAAAATATCGAGAATAGTTCTTGGGTCATTATTGTATGCTCAAAAAATAATATTATGTACAGGGTGTTCAATTTGAAAAATTAAAGTTGCTACTACTTTCTAATGGAAGTGGCAATACCGCATTGTCGAAAATATTTCAGTTGGGTAGACAATGTCCGAATATGCTATCCATTGAATTCTCAGAGTGATCCGGTGTCTGATCCACCAGAAATGTCTAATGTGTCATCCGCCGTGTGTGTGTCTAATGTGTCATAATATACAGGCTGATTTACTCATAGATTCAACTCATTCGTGCCATAAGGTCGTAATGAACTGAGTGCTTTATTTTGAAATGTTATCCAGATTAGTGTTGAGAAGGCAATAAGGCAAGTGTCTTATTACGAAACTTCTGTTGTGCTTCACGTAAGTGAAATTTCACCTCCTTCATATTACTATATTATATAGCAATATAGTGAATGATATCTGATTCAATTCCATAACGAATGTTTTGAGTGCCAACTCGATAAGAAAACGTGTTTTTTATAATTATAGTTCATATGAAAGTAGTTGTTTCGAGAGGGCTTTATTCCAGTTTGTGCCTGAAAGTTACTTCTTTGCATGATCTACACGTCTTTGTGAAGAGTGTTTTTTGAAATCAATTGCTTTCTTTCTTCCTTTGAGAAATTCTCACATTTTTTTAAGAAGATGAAGACGTAGAAAGCTAAAACCTGTCTCGTCTAAGAATTCATCTTTCCTGAAAATATACTCCTTTCAATTTAAACAAGATCCCTATGGCATGGACTGTCTTTGAAGTTCTTCAATATCAGAAGGTTATTATTTTCAATCAACGGATTCAAGATGCACACAAAAAAAAATCTAAGGTTGTTGAATCTGGTGAATCTGGCCATACAACTGCTCCCCTTCTGTCAATCCATCTATCCGGAAATCTTTCGCTCAACCACTGTCGAACTGGAAGAAAATAATGAGGTGGAGCACCGTCCTGCTAAAAATGTAACAGATCCTCCTGAGAAAGTTCATTACCTTCTGCATCCATTTGAGTTGTTAGCTCGTGAGTTATAAGAGGATCGATAGTCTCTTCAAGTATTTCAAGGTACAGATTGCCTGTCAAGTTTTCTACCAGAAATAATGGATCGATAATGGCATCTCCAAGAATACCAGCCCAAACATTAACTTTTTGTGCATGTTGTGTATGCCCTTTCCAAAACATATGTGGGTTTTCTTCACTCCAATAGCGACAATTTTGTCGGTTAACATTGCCATTCAGAAAAAATGAACACTCATCGCTGAAATGGATGTTCAACAGAAGATATATTCTCCTATCTCAATAATCCTCGTAGAGCTCTTGAAGAATCTGCATTTTATAAGAATGAAATGTATGCATTTTCAATGATTTTTTCACAGTCTACCGTAACATTCCCGTCTGTTCTGATACTGATCGTAGGCAGCTCGTGGGCTCCGCAACAAATGTTCCCAAAACTTCGATTCGAGATCTTCATTTAGTACTCTGGGGTAACCAGTTTCGTAAAACTTATTCACCAAATCAAGCATATATGTATGTCTTTCGTAAAAAAGACATGCCGTCCAACTTCTCCAATAATTACAATCATTTCAATTCTGTTCATCTGAAGGAACAATTCGTTCAGGCCAGTCCCAACTCACCTACACTGAAGGTTAATGGAGTGACACTTATCAGAAAACAGCTACCCTCTTGGCTAATACCACGAAGGGTGTTGGAATATATCCGTCAGGTGTCAGTGCAGGATTCGCCACAGAAGTAATTTCTGTATATGCTGTTAACGATACAACTGCCGGAATTGATTTTCAATTATAGAAACGGACAAACTTGCAGACCGGTTTCGGGCTATTTAGCCTCTTATCAGTACAAGGTAGTGTCCATCATTAATATGAAGTCGATGATTTCCCATAATTGAAAACCGAATTTCTTTCAGAGTATCATTCCTCAAACTAGACTGAAGCGAACGACTAACAACATATTTGTCATTTCCCCATCTGCTCGTAAACGAGGTAACCAACCGCATATACGAACAGCCGAATTTCTTGTATAAGAAAAAAATTTCGCATTTAGTGAGAGGGCTGTCTTGTAAATCAAATACGATAATGGGTTAACTCTTAGGGATATCATAAACCATTAAATTTCTCAATATTCATATTTGAAATTTAGAAGTTTTCTGTGGTCCTAATTGTATACGGCATCCTGAACAGGAATATAGTCTAATGCCATTGAAAGTATCGGATACATATTTTCTCTATCTCTGCAAATGAGGAAGGTGAAGCCAAAACAAAAATTATCAATTTTCAGGTTCATTTCCATATATCTCCGACCCAAAGAGTCCCAGTCGATTTTTCAATATATTATAATGTTGAATACTTAAACCAAAAATTCATTTTCATTATAAATCCGTCATCTATAAAGGTGGGTTTTCGTAAATAAAATAATGTTGATACCGTAAATAACTTTTATTCGACAATTCAAACATCAAATTCAAATGTACGCTTAAGCTTCAATAAGTTCCACACTTTCGTGCTTTTCTTGTCTTTTTCTGATAAAATCTGTCAACATCGAAATGATTTTGAGTGAAACTAAAACAACTAAAAGCAATACAATTGTTATAAATATTCCTCGATTATTTTCCTCATCAGAAACCCCTGACAGTTTTTGTGCCTCTCTATCGAGATTTGTTGCAAAATGGTTATTCAAAATTTTAAAATTCTCTAAATATTTGTAAAAATTACTCTTCTTGAAATCACCATTGAAATATTTAAAAATATCGCTATTGAAAAAACTGTCTTTTATGCCATCATCTGATTTTCTTAAATCGTTCAAATATTTCACAAAATTGCTATTTTTGAAGTCATTATCAAAATATTTGAATACGCTCCTATTGAATTCGATGGTGAAATTTTCATTATCTTGTAAACTTTCCAAATATTTATAGAATTTGCTATTCTCGAAATCATTATTGAAATAATCAAAAATTGCTGCTGTTCGATTTTTTCTAAATAGATTTGCTTCATGAAAATTTTCCAGATATTTGTAAAAGTTACTATTTTTGAACTCGGTGTTGAAATAATCGTTCAGCACAGAGTTTTTCAAATCCCCGCCGCCCAACTGTTGCAATTTCGAAAGTACAATATTTTCGAATACCGAATTGTCATCAAACGCTGATATTTCCAAGTTTTCATAATCGGAGCAAGATATCCCATGAATATTGGGGGTGTCTTTAGCTTTACCATATTCGACAGAAATGCCCTTTTCCCTAAAATCATGGATCACATTAACCAACTCATCACAAGAAAAAATATTGCCGTCTAATGAAATGAAAGATGACTTAGGCAAATCTTCGGAAAGTTTTTCTCTACTGAAATAAGCGATTTCATTATCTTGTATGTAAAGAGTTTTTAATTTCACGAGTGAATGCAAACACCTTCGCAATGATTTGAGTTTGTTGTGTGATATATCTAAAACTTGCAAGTTATCCAAGTTTTCAAATGTACCATGTTGAAATTGTTCTATTTGATTATTTGATAAATTTAGGCCAATTAAACTCCTCAAATCGGAAAATAATCCTGTTGGTACTGACGAAATATTGTTATATTGTAAATTCAAATACTGCATATTGTCCAAGTTTGAGAAAAACTTTGGATCCAATTTTGAAATTTTGTTGTAACTGGCATCAAATCGAATGAGAGTAAAATTTGCTGAGCAGTTCATATTTTCCAAAAACTCTATATTATTTCTACTGATATTGAAAGAGATAAAATCTAATGGACAAAAGGTCAGTTTTTTTATGAGATTATTAGAAATATCTAGATGTTCGATTCTTGTAACTTCATTTATTTCGATATCCGACAAAATGTTGTAACTTAAATCAACATGAATCATTGTATTCTGATCCAATATTGTACTTTCGAAATAGGACAATTGATTTGAAGATAGAAACAATTTTTTCAGTTTAGTCATTCCTATGAAAGATTTGTTACTCAATTTTTTTATTTTATTCTTCGACATATCCAGTACTTCCAAGTTTGACAATGAGTTTAATATTCCTGACCCTATCACTGTCAACTGGTTCTCATGTAAATATAATTCTTTCAGTGAATGAAGAGAGTTAAATGCACCTGGCTTCAACTCTTTCAGTTGTAGATCGTTCATAATAAGAATTGTTAACCTTTCAAAATGGCTGAAGGCTGTCGACGTAAGTACAGAGATATGGGTATGAGAAATTGTTAATGTTGATACTTCCAGATGGCCAGAGTATCCAGAGTATCTGTCAGAATGTTCCTGTCTCACGAAAGGTGGTTGTCCTCTGCAGTTAATCGTTATGAAATTTGTTGATCGATATTCGTCAGACCAATATTCTCCGGTGATTAGGTCGTGATGTCCCGGAACAAAAGTAGTTTTAGTTTCACTTTTTTCGTCGCACCATGCTTCGCACCAATCAAAAAGTTTTATAGTTAGAAAAATAACCATTACTTTTCTATTCCTGAAATGAAAAATAATAATGGATTTGAAATGATTATTACAATTTTGAAAACAATATTGAAAAAATATTGATTTTAAAAAAATATTGATTTTGAAAAAATATTGATTTTTTCGAACTTTCATTCTCTTCCATTTGAAGGAGAAGAAACTTCCGAAAGAAAACTATTTGAAGAGATAGTCATTAAAACCTCTTCATCATGGATGAAACTATCACTTTCCTTTATTGAATCACAAAATCCTTATTTTGTGTACCAAAAAATCATGATCAGCTGAAATACTACTGATGAGGAGTCAGAATAAATCAGGAATATCTGATCAGTGTCTTTTTTGTGAAAAAATTCAAACCATTTTTTTTCTGTCTCATTCAGTGTCCATAGAGAAATGCGGTCAATTCAGATGAACTATTTCCATCTGGAAAAACATTTTTCAAATATATATACGCACCAGTGAAGAATTCTTACTTATATCTGAAATTTTGCTCTGTATTTTTTCGAGCGAAAATTGTTTGCAGATGCACAAGCAGGCCAAGCGACAACGAAATAGGGATACGTTTTCAGGTACTTCATCAATAGCCTAGAGAAACGCTGGTATCTGTGATGTAAAAAAAAATACCTTTTTCTGTATTTGTGACGCCGCCACTTTAATCTCCAAACAAGAGTAAGAATGACCCCATAATATTCTTCAAAAATTGAACTCGAGTACCATTTTGTGCTGAAGACTTCGGAGTTCTCTTAACAGTAATCTTCGAATACCGTCTAATACTTCATTGAAAAAATTAATTTTTAAATCAAAATAATGTTGATTACCACTCGGTTCATCAATAATGGCAAGATTTTGTAGTGAACATTCCAGGACATTTTCATCGATTGGCCACCAGTGTTATCCACCATATTTATGTAACCTGCTTTATTTCCTTTTTTATCAGTAAAATCTATCAGCATTTTCGGAAGACTCTTGTCAAAAAATCATCGAAGATAATACGGGATATTCATAAGATGTTTATTCAGTTTCCGTTATTTTATGGATGCAGGTAGTCATCACTTTGAGCAAATAATCAAGCAGGTAGTATGTATATGTATATTCCACTTTTACTAATTGATGAATGTAATATACCAAAATTTTCATGATTATGTACTCATTTCTTTGAGACACTGCTTCTCCTTTGTGGCAGTGAAAGATTATGTAACAAATGAGACTTTTTTACAAAATTGGTGAGCGAGTTTTGAAATTTGAAGACTACTGTGAAGTGAATATTAAAAGCTTTGCAAAGACACCTCACTCGACTTCCAATCCTATTGAATTATTATGGGGCGATTCTTTCCTCATAAAAGAATGTTCCATATAGAAAACATCCATGAGTTCGTGATTTTTTCTCATATGTTAATGCAGTTTCTAATAATGGCTAACCTTTTTTTTTGTTTGGCCACCCTGTATAAATGAAGGAATGGAAAGTACTTGTGATGCACTGTTTGGAACCTTTGATGTAATAATGAATATTACTGGAGTTTAATCCCAACACCAAACAGTTATTTCAAGACCTTGACACGCGTTTCGATCACCAAGTGATAATTTTCATGAAGATGATCACTTGGTGGTCGAAACACGTGTTGTTGTGTTGAAATAACGTTTTGGTGTTGGGATAAAACTTCAGTGATATCCAAGTGATAAGTGAACTTCGAATCATTTTACAAAAATGGTGGTCAGTAGTTGGTTTGAGCCGATTTCAGAGCTTCCTCGTACCACTTTTAACCTTGAAATGAGGAGGTGTTTCGAGTTTGACCTTGAACGACTCTGATCTACGTAATACGGCGATGCAGGTAAGGTGACTTTGAGGTGGTGTTTCGGGTTTAACCTTGAATGACCTTTATTCACCCCTGATATTTATGACATGGTGACTTCGCTCATCACTTTTGACTTTGAAATGACCTTTACATACGTCACATGAAGTAGTTAAATTGAATTTGGGAAGGTGTTTTGAGTTTGATCTTGAACGACCTTGACCTACGTCGAGTGTGTGTAGTGTTTTGTGTTTGAATTTGAATGACCTTCATTCACTTCTCATATTTTCAACAAGGCGATTTCGACTTCGAATGAAGTCGAGCCAGTTACGTGGATTTCTTGAAGTTTTGAACCTACACGACACAACGGTGACTTTGAGGAAGTGTTTTGTGTCTGACCTTGAATGACCTCCAACTTCGTCACGCGATGGAGACAAGATTACTATGGAGTAGCATTTTCGGACACCCAGCTTGTGGTAAAGAACTACCTTCCCCCTCTTCTTCTTCAACCAAGTTCTATAAATGTTCGGAGGATCACTATTTCATAATCAGTTTGAATAACCTAAGGTACTCGAATAGATGAGTGGAAGTAGTACAGCAAAATGACAAAGAGTATTACGTCAGGAGATTACACAGCAATCCGGGTGAACATATTTTATATTTCCATGTCATAATTCCATTATATTCGAAATTAATCATTTGAAATATGATATCAAAAAGATCAATTCTGCAATAATTGAACAAACTGAGGCTATGGAGCAAAGGCCTTCAATATCTTTGACTATCGATAAAGGTTATAAAATTGAGAAGATGTCAATGCTGTCCACGCGATATGGCAAATTTATTCAAGTAGTTTTGTTGGACGAGGAAAATAATACTTATTTTAAATCATGGCTTCCAAAACGTGTCACAGAACATTTCACGGAAGAAATGATTCACGAAGTGAATTCATCCGAAGCCAAATTCATTTTTACATATGGGTCAAAATTCTCAGGATTATCCTGGTACCAAAACCCGCTCACTAGTCAAATTCGATATTTTAGATTAAATATAACTTCAATATCTTTGTAAATAGTAGAAATATGGTATATTAATGTAAAATATGGATTAGCTCCCGCGTTTCAAACATGATCTTTCAAATGAGTGCTTTTTTTGCAATATAATTTCCAAACTAATGAATGCATTTTGTGTATTTTCAGAGTACGAACATGTGGATGCAATATTCAGCCGAAGAGTGGCCGGAAGCAGTACATTTGGGTTCTGCAATAAGGAGGTTGGCTTGGAAATCAGCCGACTCGAGTTTTGATGCTCTTCACTCATATAACTGAGACTTGAGTGTATGTTTTGACGCTGAAGACCATGTTTCAATCCAGGTTTGATTATATCTAATTGTTTGGTGAATAAAAGGCATAAGATGATTATTGAGCGTTTTATTATTTATCAATATCGAATATTCCATGTCAATCTTATTACAATCCAGTCTGAACAGAGCCATTCAGAGCATTATAAGATAAAACAGCATCGTGGAGGATGAGTACATATACTTTGGTGTTTGATGGAAACTTCAGATTGCGTGTTTCGAATTCCATTTTGATGTCGACAGTAGATGTCTTCATGGCATCGGGTTGGTGGGAGTGATCGATGATAAATAGTGAATTGTTGCGAAAGCTACCAATATCCATAATCGGCTCACTCATAGCTTTATCGTAATAGCTGCGTTGGAAATGTTTACATGCATAGTAGGCTGACGAGTCTAACTTCTTGTCAAAATCCAGATTCCAACGCTCATATGTGTATACTTCTGAATTTAGAGATAGTCGAATATTAATAATACCCGCATGTATGAATTTTGTCACATATTTTGATATTTTCAGATTGATCGGTGCTTTGAAAGTCGATGATGATGTATCGAGGTCTTTCGAGGCTTTAGGTTGTCTTCACGGCCCATATATCTGAGGATGTATCACGAAGTGTGGGTAATTCATAGAGGTCCCATGTACGATAAGCCACCTTTACTTTTGCATAATTCGCATTTCCATTGATGCGGTCCAATAGCTTAAGTTTCTGACGATCTTCTGGCACAATGACTTTGATTCGCCATTCTATTTTGTTTATTTCCAAATCTGCATCGACTATCCCCATGAAGGAATTTTTGAATGAAAGTGAAATTTTTACGTTTCAATTTAGCACTAGATCAAAACTGATCCTATGTGACCTTTCAAAACACTACCTCACCTTTTAAGATCTTTATTCAGAGAATGTTAACAATGTTATTCAGTTACAAGTTGATTTTATTCATTCAACATCATAGTAATGGGAATCTTCCGTTCCATAGAAAACTATACCTGAAATGTACAAGAATATATGTATGCTTCCTGACTAACTGCTTCGACCAGTACTTACGCATTCTCCTATTGTCAATCGACGTTGGAGATCCGAAATTCCTCGCTAGGTTGAAATAGTTGTTATTGTTTGTTTCTCAGTTTACTTCACCTATCATTTTTCAGCCGTTGTCTGCCTTATTCTCTATACTTTTCCAAGAATATTTCTTGCATAGATTGTTATTCATCACTTCCAGAAGGTTTACTTACATATTAGAGCCATATCGCCTGAAAAACAATATTAGTTAGCTCTGGGTTTCTGAATACTGTTTGATATTTTCGGTAAATATTCTGCATAATATGAATGTTCAAATATTCGTACTGAATGGGAAAGATGTGGCGACTTACCTTATATGTTTCTATTCCATGGCATGAATAAGGATCGGTAAATAGTTGAAAATAGGTTGGAGTCAATATTTTTGTAAACATTCAATAACAAGGTTAAGAGACAGCTGTTGGTTGACATCTGCCGAACCGAACTTTCGTAGTGTCGTTCCGACGACCTACACCGAACTAGTTCTACAGTTGTTCACGGGTGAGGGATTGATCGGTTACTCAAATTGCCAAAGGTTGTTTTAGGGTTGCATTGCTTTGAAAAAGAGTTTTGATGGGTCATGGACTTGTTGATGATGTCTCCAGTGGCTGTGGAGGAATTGATAGATTTATGATGTTGTGCTCAGCGCCCCCTTGGTGCTTGTAGTGTAGATTGGACACACTATGGCAACAACTGGTTAGCTGTCAGATGTGGCAGTCTCCTGGATTTCGGAGTGGACCTTCGATGAGCTTGGGTGAGAGTTCAAGTGTACCATCAGACTGATTGTAGGATATATATGGTTGTATTT